GTTGGCAAGCAGTTGGCCCAAGATGACTGGGAGGGGAAGGGGCCAGTGGCGGCCGGCCAGCCGCATTCCGCCCTCTCCGCCGCCGCGGCCGCTCCTCAGGGCCGCACAGCCTACGGAGCCCCTTCCCCGGGGCCTGGGGCCAGCGGACTGGGGCCGGAGCTCGGCCAGCACTGGGGGAGGGGGCTGCGTGGTCTCAGCCCCCGAGAGGGGAGGGACGACAATTTCTGTCCGCCGAGCTGAAGGGGTTTAAAGGGCGGCTCTTAAAGGGGCCGCAGGAGGGGCCCGGGGTCGACTGAGGCACCCCTTCCCCACCTGCCTTTTCATCATCCTCACCCGGAGTCACTGGGCCGAGGAAGAATGCGGAGCAAGGGAAACATTGGTCGGGGCGGCCCAGGGGACCAAGCCCGCGCAAGTGGGGCTGGGCTTGAAGTGGTGGGTCTGAGGTCGGGGGTGTGGGGGGTGTGGTAAGTGCTGGCAGCGAAGTTGGGGGGGAGGGGCGGGGAGGGGCGTGGGAAGGGAAGGGTTAAAGGTGGGGCCAGCCCTACAAACACAAGCGCACACACACTCCTTACTCAGGCCGGTCACCCGCGTTTCCCTGGCACTTAGATGAAGCTGTGGTGGGAGAGGATGCTGGGGGCTTGGCTTGAACCCTTTTCACCCTGAGCTCCTGCACCCCAGCTTTGGGAGGTCAGAGACCCCACTGCCTCAACTCACACCTCACCTCTGAGCCCCCTCTCCTACGCGCACACACACGCGCGCGCGCGCACACACCTCGGACATTCCCATAGTGCCTCACGTGACACACGGCCCGAACGTGCCCACCCTTCACACACGCTCACGCACGCGTGCACATACACGCGCGCGCGCACACACACACACACATACACACGTACACACACACCCACCCTCGCGGCCACTTCCTCAACTCTGTCCCCTGACGCCCCCTCAGCCCTGCAAACGTACTCATTGAGGCAGAGACTGTGACACACCTACACTCATTCAGACACACACTCCCCCCACACATGCCAACCACAGACACACATTCATAAACAGGCCGGGAGAAGTACACACACACGCACCCCTTCGCCTACTCTTCGGCGGGAGCCCTGAGTCATTCCTGCCCCCTCTCAAGTTTCCCCATTTCCCTGCATGCCGGCACCCAGGGATGGGCTAAGGAATTCAGTAGCTTCGCTCTGCACTAGCACCCCTCCCAGAAACCCCTTTTACCCCATTTATTTCCTCTGACACTTAGCCAAGGGCTTCCTGTAGGTCCCAGGTCAGGGACTGGAGAGCCTGGACAGTTGCCATAGACCAGTGCAAGTAGGGGAGGTGCTTCCTTTTCCTGAACTCTGGAATCCTATGGGAGGAAGCTGGGAATTGGGCGGGGGCTGCACTGGAGGATGTGTTGACTGTGGGGGGCCAACCCTTCCGGCAGTACTGGGCCTGACTCGAGGAGGAGCTGGGGGTGCCAGAGGCCTGGGATGAGGAGCTGGGCAGAGAGGTACTGGGGAAGTGAGGCCTGGGGCAGAGAATGGGTTGGAGGGAGTGAGCAAAGGATAGGCTGAGGTCTGGGTCTCCAAGCTGGGAAAACCGGCGCTGTCCCCTCAACAGGCTCCTTCCAGAGCCCTTCCCTGCTGCAGACCTGGCTTACTCGACCTTATTTGTCAACATCCTCTCCTGCTCCCCAAGTCTTCATGAGGTCCCAGCTCTTTCCCCTAAAGGAAGCAGAGAAGATGGGGGCTTAGTAGACTAGGAAGAGGCTGTGGGAGTTCCCCCACTGAGCTCCTAACAGGGAACTTCCAGGCTGTATCTCACCTGGTTTCAGGCTTCTTTATACCAGGATGATGGGTATCAGGAGCAAGACGTGGGCGGCCCTTCTCCACGGTTACTCCTGCTCTCCCAGGGGGCCCAGAGTGGGCCGTGGCCTAGGCCTTTACCATGGAGTCCATGTTTGAGGATGACATCAGCATCCTGACCCAGGAGGCCTTAGGGCCCAGTGAGGTGTGGTTGGATGGCCCCGGAGACCCCTCACTGGGGGGAGACATGTGCTCTGCCTCCCACTTTGCCCTCATAACGGCTTATGGAGACATCAAGGAACGGCTAGGAGGCCTGGAGAGGGAGAATGCCACCCTCCGCCGCCGCCTCAAAGTCTACGAGATCAAGGTCAGAACTTGGAGATAAAGGGGATCTAGTTGTGTATGGGGAAGGTGGGGTGGCAGGAACTGGGACTCTGGAGAGATTCCAGGGATCCAAGAGAAGGGTTAGGGTACAGACCCTTTAATCTTGGGGGTTTCCCATGTAGGCTGTGGCTGCTGTGGGTGGGAACTGGAGAACCCCAAGTCCATCAGGAGGGATCTGTTTTGGAAGGGCTGAACCTTGGATCTGAAAAAGTCCTGGTTGGTGGGAGACCCCTACAGGCTAACGGGAGTTGGAATGTACAGGATCTCACCAGAGAGGGGAAGGAGAAGCAGGTTGTGGGGTGGAGGCATGGTGAGGCTGAGGCCTGGGCAGGGGCAGGTTACCAGACTTCCTGAAGCCCCTGCCTTGCCCACAGTACCCACTGATCAACGACTTTGGAGAGGAGCACGGCTTCTCTCTGTATGAAATCAAGGATGGCTCCCTGCTAGAGGTTGAGAAGGTCAGTCTGCAGCAACGGCTCAACCAGTTCCAGCATGAGGTGAGCCCTTCAAGCCCCATCCTCTGAGCTCCTTGCTCCAGTCTGTTTCTGATAATCCTCCCAGCCTCTGGCCTCCTGCCTCCTTGATTGGATGGCCATGGTCCTTCCTAGAACCAACTGTAGCTCCTTGTGCCAGCCCTCCATGGGGTGCTGGGAGTGGGGGTGGGGGAGCATGAGGAGCCCCCAGCCCCTAAGTCAGGGATGAGCCTGACTCTGTGACATGCACCCCATCCTTTCTGGACTCCATCCAGTTGCAGAAGAATAAGGAGCAGGAAGAACAGCTTGGGGAGATGATCCAGGCTTACGAGAAACTCTGTGTGGAGAAGAGTGATCTGGAGACGGAGCTGGGGGAGATGGTGAGGCCCAGGGAGCTGGGGTCTTGAAGGTGTTTACCTGACTGTGTGTGTCTTTGTGTGTAGTTTTGTGTGTTGACATCCCAACTCTGTGATAACTGTGTGTGGCATGCACCCTGCTTTTTGTTCATGTGTGTCTGTGAGAACCCATTTGGCCTTGTAAGTAAGACTGTGTGTCACCCGGGCTGAGAGTGACTCTACATCTTTGCAGTGCCATGACAGGATATCATGTGTGTGTGGCATGCTGGCCTTGTGAGTGACCTTGTGAAACACTATGTCTTTGTGTGTGTGTTTGGGTCTCACCCTGGGTCCCCTTTGTGCCTATAGGATTGTGCCTGTGAGGCTATGAATGAGGGCAAAGATGACCAGATTGTCTGTGACTGACTGGGTCTTGGCATGTGTGTGATTCTGAGTTGAGGTGTGGCCAGGTATGTGAGCAGGTAGGGGCTAGAATCAGGAGTTATGATCCCTGCTGACTCCTAGCTGAGACTTAGTCAAATCACTTAGCCTACATTCCTGCCTCTGAAGAGTTGAGTGGAGATAACAACCTTGCTGAGCTGTTGTGAGCAGATAGGGCATTCGTGTGAAAATGCTTTGCCTTAATAATAATAACTAGTTGCTGTCGAGTTGACTCTGACTGTGGCAGCCCCATGGGCATCAGAGCCTGAGCTCCACAGGGTTTCCAAGGGCTGATTTTTCAGAAGTAGATCACCAGGCCTTTCTTCTGAGGCACTTCTGGTTGAACTTGAACCTCCAACCTTTTGGTTAGCAGCCAAACACGTTAACCATTTGTACCACCCAGAGACTTAATAAGGAGCTCTGGTAGCATAGTGGCTAAGACACTTACCTGCTAACCAGAAGGCTGGCGGTTCAAACCCACCAGCCACTCCTCGGAAGGAAGGTTGGGCAATCCTACTTCTGTAGTGATACTGCCTCGGAAACCCAAGGAGGGGTCGCTATGAGTCGGGGCCGACTCGACAGCACATAACAACAACAACAACAGAAACTTAATATAATTAACACTTATATGATACTTATATGGACTTAATATAGTTAACAGTTATATGGTACTTATATGCCACATATCATTCTTTTTTTTTTTTTCCACATATCATTCTTATGTCTTTATATATATTAACTCATTTTAATCCCCTAACAACCCTAAGAGGTAAGTGTGGTGATATTGTAGTTCCCATTTCATAGGTGAGGTAGGTGAAGCCCAGAGTGGTTAAATCACAATACACAACGTTATTATGCTTCTGACTTGTTATTTTGAAGGGGTAGCAGTGTCTGGACAGAGTCTAAGTGTTCCTGTAAGTGTCCCTATGTGTTAATGACAAGGAAGAGGCAGTACCCCTGACCCTGAAATGGCCAGAAACATCTGCGTTGCAGTTGCTGGGAAGAGAGACTCATGACTTCTTGGAGAATGAGGTTGGAGTGTGTGACCTGCAGGTCTCTGCTCCAGTCTTGGGGGTGATGACTGTCCAGACATGAGGAAGTCCTCGGTTTAGGGGGCCCAGAGGGGCACCCTGCCCCTATGCAGATGCTCACTCCTTTGTCTCCTCCAGCGGGCCCTGGTAGAGACCCACCTGCGGCAGATCTGTGGTTTGGAGCAGCAGCTGCGGCAACAACAAGGCCTCCGGGACACAGCCTTCCCCAGCCTGAGCCCTCCTCCACAGGCCCCAGTTCTGTCCTGTGCTGACCTGGACCTGCACTACCTGGCACTGAGAGGGGGACCTGGCCTGAGTCACGGTGAGACCTCGAAGACCCTTGACTTCCCTATCCCTACGTCTCCAATCCTAACCCCCATTTCAACACCATTCAGCACCTTCAGCTTCTGTTATTGATATGCCACACCCCACTCTAATATTTTCAGTTTCTTCCATAATCACTGTACTCCCCACTTATCAACTGTTTCCTCACCTTATTCACTCTTAACCCAATTTCTCCCCCTGACACCCCCCTGCTAATCCCCGCCTTTGTGATCAATCTCTAGCTACCCCAGTGCGATTCCTATGCTCACCAGCAGAGAGCGCTCGCACCCAGACCCCTGCCTGAGATTTAGCGAGGCCCTTGAGATGCTGTAGACTTGAGTCTGGCCAGGGGAAACCTTTGAAAGGCTGTCTTATCTTTTTTATCTGGAATATTAGAAAAAGCAGCTCTACCCATCCTTCCTCACTGCCCTCTGTAGAAGTGTCTCTTCTCTGGTGTTTATTTCACTAGCCATTTCCCTTGGATCCCTCAAGCTGCAATCCTCATTCATTTTACTGGGAGTCAGTAGGGAGTGCCCGCAGCTGGACAGCTAAACCCAGCCTGATATTGTCCCTTTCCCTGGCAGCGGGCTGGCCGGGCCCCTCGCTGAGTGTGAGTGAGCTGGAGCGGCGGCGGCTGGAGGAGGCTCTGGAGGCAGCCCAGGGAGAGGCTCGAGGGGCTCAGCTCCGAGAGGAACAGCTCCAGGCGGAGTGCGAGCGGCTCCAGGGAGAGCTGAAGCAGTTGCAGGAGACCCGGGCCCAGGTAACTGCACCCCAAGACTCTGCTCTGGCACTCCCAGAGCGCTGGGGGGTGCTGGAAACCACCTTCAGAGGTCATCTGGTCCAACCGCCTGCCTCTGTGCAGTACTGCGCCTTTCTTCCTGAATACTCACTGGCTCTGTGCTTGGCAGAGAGGGGGTGTCCAGGCCAGGGTGAGATTGGAATCTGACTTCTTAATCTTTCCCCCTCAGGATTTGGCCTCTAACCAGTCAGAGCGGGACATGGCGTGGGTAAAAAGAGTTGGGGATGACCAGTAAGTGTTTCTAACCCCTCTCCCTCTTAACTTCTACACGTCTGGGGGGTGGCACATCCCAGGCCTCTGTTGGCATGCTTTCCTCCCTCCGTGTTGTTGGGGTGGCCTCTTTTCCCAGCCCTCGGGGTGTGGTGTACGGGTTGTTTCTGTGGCTCTGTCCCCTCCGTGGGAAGGAGGTGAGGTTCCAGGAGTGACAGGTTCTGGGAGGTTCCCTTTGCGGTCCTCTGGGACCCAAGCCCAATTCTTCTAGAGGTGCTAGGGGTTGAGAGAGATTTACTCAGCTGCCTTGCTGCTATGTTCTGTGTTCCCTGGTGAGTTTGGGGGCCTCTCTGGGGCCCCATTTTCTGTATCAGGAACCAGGCCCAGCCAGTTGGGTAGATTCTCCCCTCCCTGGTGAGGATGAAGGAGATGGTCTCTTTCAGGAACCTCTCTGCCTCCTTATCTCTGGAGAGAAAGGAACGAGACTCAGAGAAGGGAGAGGCTTCTATGGGCTTACACAGCAGTGGGGTGAGGAATTAGAACTTACTCTGCCAGAGTGTCCCCTTGGAATCCCACCAGGAAAAGGGGCAGCAGGAAGTAGGAAAGGAGCTGTATTGGTGGGGAGTCTTACGCTGGGGGCCTCTGGGGGAGGGTTGGGCAACAAGGGAGGGGTGAGTGACAGCCTCATGCCTGTCACATCCGTGCCTAAACTCATCCTCTCCCACTTTCTGAGAAATAGAGCTCAAACCTCCTTCCGCCTAAGTCCTCACCCCCAAGATGAGACATGTGGCATAGACTCCCTACTTTCATTGGAGGGGGAGACTGAGGCCCAGAGAGGAACAGGAACTAACAGGGGTCCTGCCTCTTCCTCATCTTCCTTCCAGCTTCTGGACAACTGGGGAGACCCCTTGCCCCCCTCCCCACTCTGGGGTGAGGTCCTGGGTGGGGCTGTGATAGCTAGGGGGTGAGAACTGTGTAGGACTGGTGGGTGGGACCCCTCAACTAGTCTGCTGGCATGTGTGTGGGGGACTCTATCGAAAGAGTCCACCCTAGCTTGTAGCTGGGGCTCTGAGCCCATGCTAGCCTGCATGCCCAGACCTAGAACACACACACACACACGCACACACACACACACACACACACACTGTAGAATCCCACCAGTCACGTTGTAAAACTCTTTGTGGGTCACTGAGTCCAACCAAGCCCCTTTATAAGACCAACAGCAAAGGCTCCCCCAGTTGGCTGGCCCCTAGCCTAGAGGGTCAGGCTAAAGTTGAAGGAGGGGGAGGGGCGGGTGGGGGGAAGGAGCTGAGAAGCTGACCCGAGGCCTCCTTAGGTGGGAGGACTAGGGAGGGAGCACTCGGTATACAGCCAAGGAGGACCCTTTGGGCAAGGCTGGAATCCAAACACCCAGGCTTCAAATCCCTGGCATGCAGAATGGCTTTACTGAGTGGGACCTCACCTTTCTAGACCCCAGGTTTACCTTATGGGCTCAGTTGTTGCTGAGAGGTGGGAGAGGAAGATGATAGGGATTGAAGTCAAAGGGGAGGTGGCCGGTCCCAAGGGGCCAAGGCCGTGTATGAGTGGGTGAAAGAACCTGACCCATGGAATGCTTTTAGAGGTTGTGTCATCCACGCTGCTGAGTTCAGCCAGAGCAGCCCTTTCCCTGCCCACCCCAAGGCACCTGTCCCTTTGGTCAGAGGGAACCAGGCTCTGCTTGAGGACAGTCTTACCTGAGGTGACCTCCCAGCTCCTCCCCTCCTTCCTGGTGGTTCAGACTCTGTCTCAGGGCCCCTGGAATCTCTGTACGTAGAGTCACCCGGGTCCTGCCTGCCCAGCCTCATACTTTCCTTGCAGCTGAGCATCTCTGGACAGCCCCAGCTTGGCACAAGTCAATATGCAGAGGAAGTCCTCACTCCCCCGGTAGTTTTATTTTCTTAGAAACTCAGCTCCTTTTGGTAATAGGCTGTATCCCGAGGAGTGCTCCCTCCCTGGTCCTCCCACCTGAGAAGGCCTCCGTCGCCTTCTCAGCTCCTTCCCCCACCAGTCCCTCTTCCTCCTCTGACTTCAGCCTGACCCTCCAGGCTAGTGGATGTTTTATTTTGCCTTTGAAAAATCAGGGAATTTTTAATTTATCAGAAAGTGTGTACCAGGCACTGTGTTAAGACCTTTCCAAATACTCATCTTAGGAACCTGTGAGGTAGATGCTGTTATTGTCCCTATTGGTTTGGTTCATGGAAGAAAGTGAAGCACAGAGTGGTTGAGTAACTTGCCTAAGGTCAGACAGCTAGTTCACATTAAAGCTGGCATTCAAATCAGGCAGCCCACTTCCATAATCCACGTGGGCTTTACGTGTTTCTGTGAACAGTTTCGTAGTTTCCTTTTCAAAGGCCCTTCCATGTGTGTATTCACACATGTAGACCCAAGCTCCTCACTGTCATTGTTTGTCTAGAGTTGTTTTGGATGATGATGTATAGTCTCTTGAGCACTACTGGCACAAGGTGGTGATGTTTGTTGCCGCTCAGTAGCTTCCCACTCATGACCATGCAGGAAACCATCCTTTCCTCGGGCTTTATTTTCACTGTGTGCTAGCAGGTATTTTACACGTGGGTTTTCTAGGAGGTGATGTCTGGGCTAGGTTATCCAGGGCGGGAGGGTGGTGGTGGTGGTGATGATATTAATCAGGATGAAAAAGACACAGGGGATATGAAGGCTGAAGTGGGGGACCCAGAAATTTCTGTGTCCAGCCTACTCCTGTGTAGGAAGGAGTCTTCTGCATTTGGAAGGGCACTCAGCCAGGCTCAGTTTGGATACCTCCAGGGGTGGGGAGCTCACTACCCCTCCCGGGTAGCCAGTTTTGTTGTATGAGTTCTGCTTGGTACACAACCCTCCTTTCTACAGATTTGGATCGGGCCTCTATTAATTCTCCTCTATGGGTCCTGTCCCGGACCCAAGGGGCAGGCCTGGAAGGCAGACCCAGCCCCAGGGTTTCCCAGTCCCTCCCATCCCAGCCCTTGGACACAAGCACTGGTCATCCACGTTCTTTTGAAAATGGTGCCAGTTCTGACCTCAGGGTAAGATTTACCAGCATTTGGTGGCCAGTGCCCAGGGGTCAAATTGTCCCTGAGGAAAAGTCGCTGGGTTACTCAGGAGGCCAAGGCAGTGATAGGGAGGCGGCCAGGAGTGGGGATGAACAGCGAAGGAAGGCAGTGGCAGGAAGATCCTGGCCGGCTGGGGTGGGAGATACTCTGAGCCCAGCTCAAAGGCACAGAGGTCCTGAGCATGGGGGGGGGGGTGCCTTTCTGAGGGTGTGGCCAGTGCTGAGGGTGGAAGGCACATCATTGAGAGGGGGCTCCTTGAGGTGAGTGAGGGCTCTGAGGTAGGGGACTTATGAGGGGAATGAAGGCTCAGAGGGGGAAGGGGCTCACCAGTGAGGGAGCCTGGTGAGACCATGGGGGCTCAGTCCACATGACGAGGGGAAAACTCTAGGCCTTTCTTTTTTCCCAACATGGGGGGGTTCAGTGTTACAGCCTGGGCCCTTTTCCGCCCACTCCCCACACCCCTCTCTCCGCCCACAAGCCTCTGCGTGGGTTGCGGTTAGTGGTGGGGGAGAAGTGTGAACTCGGAGAGAGAGGATGGAAACTCTGCACGGAGGTCAAGGGCAGTGTGGGGTGGGTCAGGACGGAAGTCGGAGACCCCCGTGTGCCCTGAACTTAGCCTCATGCCCCAGAACCAGCGGGCCCAGGGCCTCCCCCTTCACGCTTCTCACCCTCCCTACTTCCTTTATTTCAAACCTTCCGCCAGGGCATCCTGTGCTCACAGGAGTTAACCCCTGAGCACTTGCAGCCTTGAGGGGGCTCCCAGGAGGCAGGGAGGGGTTCTGAAGCTGGCAGCCCACTCGCTCTCACTAATTTTGGTCTGAGGGTTTGGTATGTCCTTGAACCCCAGCTTTTGACCCTTCCCTGCCAGGCTCCTACCCACATTCTTTCCCTCAATGGGAAATTGCACATCCTCCCTTCATTCTTAAACCAAAGTCATTGAGCTCCTGGGGCCAAAGAAAAAGTCTGGAAACTGGTTCCCCCTTGCTCCACCTGTCTCCTAGACACTGCCCTGGTTCTTTGTCCGTGCCAGACACTATGCGAAGCAATTCCCGTACAAAATCTCATGAGATTCTCACACACAAAAAAGTGCTGTAGGTATTGCCCCCATTTCACTGATGAAGTATAGGGAAGTTAAGTCATTTGTTTATGTGCAAATAACAAGCAAGTCCTGAGCAACTGGAGTGGCGATACCTCCATGGTACCTCTGTGGCATCTTCTGGTTCAGGTTCTCATCCGGGTAAAACCAAAACCAAACCAGTTATTATTAAGTTGCTTTAGACTCGTTGATGACCCCATGTGTTGCACAGTAGAAGTGTCCCCCACAGGGTTGTCAAGGCTGTGACCTTTTGGAATCAGATGGTCAGGACTTCCTTTCAAGGCACTTCTGGATGGGCTCGATCTGCCAAACTTTCGGGTACCTCTCTGGCATTTTTCTGGTTCAGGTCCCCCTCCAGGTAGGAGACTCCATACAGGGGCAGCCATATGATGTGCTGGCCAAACCAGGACACTTTTGAAAGTGAAAGCACCATTATTAATAATTAGCTAGGGTAGCTAGTGTGAAGAGGGACAGTGTGGGGCACATTGGAAGGATGATCACACTCCTGAATGGAGACTTTGGTTTCCAGCCTGTGTTCAGCTGCAGCTGGGCAGATTTTCTGCAGGCAGTGAACATCTGGCTGTGCTGGGAGCATGATGGGGGTGCCACGAAGAGCCGGGCTCTGGGGACCACAAGTCATAGTTGGTCTAGGCGGGTGAAGGGGCTCAAGGTGCCTGAAAGGAAGTGGTGGAGCGCTGGGTTGCTACAATGCGACTTCCTCCTCCCCCTGGCCCGCAACCTCAAGTCCGCTCCACGGCCTGGTGCCTGTGGTCCCCTCCCTGAGGGTCGGGTGGGAAGGCTGATAGTGGGTGTGTCTGTGGGTGGTGGAAAGTTTGGTCCCTGGATTCCGTGAAAGGGGTGAGGTGGCTGAGGGCAGCTGCGAGCACCTATGGGCAGGGATGAGAAGGCTGGGAATGCTGGATCTGTCTGAATCAGACTGCAGTTCTGACCGTATGACCAGCTCTAACCCTGATTCCCATCTTAACCCAAATACTGATCCCATCCAGGATCTTAACCTTATCCCTAAGCCTGACCCCAGCTCTGTCCACAGTCCTGACTGCAAATAAGCCATTGATTCCAGCCCTGTTCCGACCCCAGCTTCAATCCTGACCTCAAACCCATCCTCAGTTTTGATCATGATCCAATGCCAGTCTGACTCCCAACCCCACTGTATCCTCATGAAGCCCTAGTGTAGCAAGAGGGCACCCAGTGAGCCTCCCAGGGGAAGACACGGCACACAGAAGCCGACGTGTTAGCTGGGTTTGGGGCAGAAAGAGGCCTTCTACAGAGGAGAGCACTTAGGCCTCTAACCTTTCTGATCTCCATTGCTTTGTCAATAACAGGGACGATCCTTGTGTCTTTGCTTCAGAACAGGTGTCAGATGAATTTTTGAGATCCCTGAATTATTCGTGGAAAGAGTGAATGAATGGCTAAGTCATTGAAGGGTGACAAGATCTGCAGCCGAGGGTGCCCTCCTTCCTGCCAGCTCTGCCATTTGCACTCTGGCTCCTATGAAGGTGCCAGCTCAGCAAGCTGAGATGCCAAGAACATGTGTTTGAATCCTGATCTGTTGCCACCCTCACCCTATGATCTTGAGCCAGCCTCTTAATATCTCTGATCTCCCACTTCCATGTACGTCTAGCACCTTCCTCTCCCCTCCCAGGGCAGGGTGGTGATTCTTAGGGCTCCCAGGCCACTTCTGAGGTCCCCAGTCTCTTCCTCCTTACCATATTTCTCTTGTGCTGCCTTCCCACCTGTTCCCCACCCCACCCTCCAGATTCTTTTGGGAGGCAGCGTGTGTAGTGGCTGGTAGCCTGGACTTTGGAGGCTGGGAAGCCAAAGCTCCTCTTCTAGGAACTCCATGAGCACTAGGCTTTATGACTTTGGTCAAGTTAGTTAACCTCTGTAAGCCTCAACTTTCTCATCTGTGAAATAGAATAATAGTGTCAACGTTGGATGGTTGTTGTGAAGATTAAGTAAAGCTCTTAGTGCAGCCTGGCCTGTGGCAAGCACTCATACAGTGACATTAGCTATGAGTCTTTTCTTCTTGGGTCCCTCTCAGGTTCTGAAAGACTCCGAACTTTTCTCATAATTTGAGCAATAAAGAAGCACCCCAGGGCAGCTGTCTGCCATTCACCTGGCCCGTCCTTCCCAGTCATGATGGTGGAAAATAGCACTCAGGTGTGGGCCAGGAAGCCAGGAAATGGGGTGTGTATTTAGGTGCACGTGTGCGATTCTTGGTTGTGTTGTGAAGTTGAGATTTTTTTTCCACTGAATTGGCAATGTTTTTTAATGTGAGTCATTTAGCTTGTTAGCATAATCCACAGCCCAGGCTAGTGTACCTTGAGGTGAGGACAGTGGCCTGATGAAGGGGAGGTCCCAAAGGGCCAGCAGCGTCAGGAGGAGGTCAGGTTCTCAGTGGTCTTTGTAAGGGTTGCTTGGCACTCTGGGGGGACAGTACCACCACAAGCACCCAAGTCAGAGTCAGGAGAGGGGGCTGGGCATTTGGGAATAGGGGCTTCTTCCTCCCATTTCCTGCTGCCATGTCTGTTTTACTTTGAGGAAGGTGCTGGGAGCCAGGCGGCGGAAACTGGGGTAGCTCCTGACAAGGAGAAAGGCAAGCAGGGGAGAGAGAGGGGCCTGAGAACTGAGTGTGGCAGGTGAGATCTCCATCTCTGAGGTGGGGGGTGTGTGTGAAGGCGACGACCTGTATCTGTCACCTGAGATACAGCAGTGACGGTGGATAGGGAGAGAGACTGTGGCTGCCTGGTCACAGGAGGACTCTTTTAGTGCCCTGCCCAGAGTCCCTTCCTATCCCCGACCCTTAGGGGACAGCCCCCTAGTTCTTGCCCACAGGTTGCCCTTAACCTGAAGAGGGAAGCAGAAGCATTCTGGTGGTGAGTCTCCAGTGAGACGTGGGACACACCTTCCAGTGTGTGTGTGGGGGGAGATGGTATTTCTTCCCAGGGACCCATGAGATAAATGTGGGGACATAGGACACATTTAACAAACTCAAGGGCTGAGAAGTGGTGACACTGAAGGCCACAGGACCTGGGCAAGGATTCCTAGAAGGATCTTTCCTCTCTGTTCCTGTCCATCCCTGTCAACCATCAGATGGTTAGTGAGGACTCCCTCTCTAGGAAGTGGGTTTATCCCTCAGAGTCTGGGTATATTTGCAGTAATTTTTCCTTTGGTCCAAATGGCTTAAAAATAATCTTTTTCTTTGAGGGGTAATTGTCTCTCCCCACCCCCAGCTCTGCTCCAGGGTTAGTGAGGGAGAGCCGGCCAGGGAGCAGAGAGCAGGGCACTCAGTCATGGTCTGCCTGCTCCACCTCATCTTTTTCCTGCGCTCTGAAGCCCTAACCTCACGACTTCCCCTCCTCCCTTCTGGGGTCAGACAGTCAGACACACACACACACACATTCTCTCTCTCTCTCTCCCCCACCCTCTCATTTTTTGTCATACTCATACTGGCCTCCAACCCTTCCCTTTCCATCCTTCTATCCACATACATCCTCTCTTACATGACCGTTAGATGGGAATGGGGAAGGACCTTCAGGGTCTAGAGAACGCCAGCCCTCCTCCCTGGCCTCTCTGTCCTGCTCAGGGCCCTACAGCTCCCAGACTAGAAAGTTTGCCTTGTGAGGAGACCTGTCTGGGGTGACTGAACCTCTGCCTGCCACTTCCTTCCAACCCACCTCCCACAGAGTTCTGAAGTCCCTTCTGAATTTGGTGAGGTGGGGAGAGACAAGGAAACCAAAATCCCCTCCTTCAGGGACCAGGTGCTGTTGAACCCCAGGCCAGAGAAGAGCCTCTTGTGAGGTAGGGAAGAGCTCCTTGGGGGAGTGCAGGCCAGCGTGAGAAGAAGGGGAAGGGCAGGGCTGAGAGTAACAACCATTAGTGGTTCAGAGTGACCCAGGGAGAAAGGAAGAGAAAAGGAAGTACTCAGGAAGGTCCCTTGCTAAACTCAGAGTCTGTTCTGGCTCTGTGAGGATGGGTGTCCAGCAGACCTGGGGAGGAAGAAAGGGAAGAAGAAAGAAAAATAGATGGAAAGGCTCAATTCATTATCTGCTTATTGAACTGGACATCAGGCCCTGAACAATGAGTGCCGCAAATACAAATACAGTGGTATGATCCCAACCAGCAGGGAGTTCTTAGTAAAGTTCCTGAACAAGCTGAGTGGCGTCCCCTGAACGTGCCCAATGGGTACAGCAGCTCTTGACAGAGATCCCTGGAGTTACACAGCAAGGAGATTCTGGGAGACACAAGGCTGAGGAGAGCTCAGAAGTAGCTTTGAGGTAGATCTGTGGACCTGTAGTCAGAGCCGGCACAGCTACTCGGAGATGGCGACCCCCAGTGCCCATCCCCCTCCCTACCATCCCAGTTTATCTGCTGGTGCTTTTGCCCATCCAGGAAGTCATGTTTTCCTTTGTGCAATGAAGCACCTTATAGGCTGTACAACAGTGGCTCCCAACCTCTTCAAAGGTGAGGACTGTCTTTATGGCTCCCCTCCCACTGCACTGATGGTGCCCATACTTTCAGTAGGTGCTGTTGAGAAAATTCATGGAGACAAAAGCTACTATAAATTCAGTAAAGCTTTCTAATGACCCTGTGTTTTATTTATCACCACAGCTTCTCCACAGATTAAAAAACCATTTACAAACATGTGTACTGAGATGTGTTCACTCCACCCACAGCGTTTGGTGAACACATGGGTTCAGGAACCCCTTGGAATCACTGTGCAACTCATCCCTGGCCTATAGGCTGGGAACGGCCGCCCTGCCCTAACCCCCTGGAAGGGTCTCTGGAGGAGAGGGAGGCTTCTTGGAAGAGGCAGCATTTGAGGTGGACTTTAAAGGCTAAGAGGATTTCTGCCCAGGAGGGATGGGATGTGCCAGTTGAAGGGACAGAGCTCACTTCCCCACTTTCTGACCTCAGGGTCAGGCAGGCTAGGGCCGAGCCCTGACGGTAAGCCACTGGGATGTCTCTCAGGGTGAACTTGGCGCTGGCCTACACGGAGTTGACAGAGGAGCTGGGCCGGCTTCGGGAGTTGAGTTCCCTTCAGGGGAGGATCTTGAGGACGCTGTTGCAGGAGCAGGCCAGGAGTGGCGGTGAGCTGGGGACAGGGCAGGGAAAGACCCAGAGTTGCACCAGAGGAGGGAAGGGGGTAGCTATGGCAACCCTTCCGCGTCCTGGGCGCCACCCTGCCTTCCTTTCCCACTGCCCGGTACTGGTACTTTTTCACTGGCGTTGGGAGGGGAGTGGGTGGGCCAGCCCCTGGCTTCCCAGGCTCTGATGCCTCTTGGCGCCTTTGCCCCAATCCTGTTTTCTCTTCCAGGCCATAGGCACTCGCCGCTGTCCCAGCGCCACTCCCCAGCCCCCCAGTGTCCCTCCCCCTCCCCGCCATCCCGAGCAGCGCCCCCGTGCCAGTCCCCGGCCCCCCAGCGGCGCTCCCCGGTACCCCCGTGCCCCTCGCCCCAGCAGCGCCGGTCGCCAGCCTCGCCCTCCTGTCCGTCGCCCGTCCCTCAGCGCCGCTCCCCGGTACCGCCGCCGTGCCAGTCCCCCAGCCCGCAGCGCCGCTCGCCGGTACCTCCCGCCTGTCCGGCCCCGCAGCCGCGGCCCCCGCCGCCTCCGGTGCCCGGGGAGAGGACGCTGGCCGAAAGGGCCTACGCCAAGCCGCCCAGTCACCACGTGAAGGCGGGCTTCCAGGGCCGGCGCAGCTACTCGGAGATGGCGGAGGGCGCGAGCTACGTAGGCGCCTCCGCGCCCTGGCTGCAGGCAGAGGCGGCCACGCTGCCCAAGCCCCGGGCCTACGGCGGCGACCTCTACGGCCCCGGGCGGCCCCTGAGCCCGCGACGCGCCTTCGAGGGCATCCGGCTGCGCTTCGAGAAGCAGCCGTCGGAGGAGGAGGAGTGGGCCGTGCCCGCCAGCCCACCCAGTCCCGAGGCAGGCACCATCCGCTGCGCCTCGTTCTGCGCGGGCTTCCCCATCCCCGAGTCGCCGGCTGCCACCGCCTATGCCCACGCCGAGCACGCGCAGTCCTGGCCGTCCATCAACGTGAGTGGGGTGCCCACGCCTTCCTCTGGGCCCCAGCACCTTGAGGTAGAAACCAGGGAGCCTTGCCCTCGGAGCCGCTCTTGGTTGTCAACACCACTCAGACCTGAGGGCTAGGGCTACCTCTCCTTCCACATGCCTTCCTCTCTTTTTGTGGGGTCAAAGCAGAGGCTTTTTCACCTCTCTTCTTTTGACCTCATATTGGCTTGAATTGGGGCCTGCACCTTTAAGAGTTTTGTTCAGTGTCACAGTTAAGGGAAGGGGCTTCAGAGTGACAATGGCTTTGATGTCAAATTCCACCACTTACTAGCTGTGGGGACCTTGACCATCTTTCTTATCTTCTCTGATCCTCAGTTTTCTTATCTGCAAAATGAGGACAACAATTATATTATTTAATTATGTTACCTAATTACATTAGCGAATTCTTAAGAGGGAGGCAGTGAGTCAAAAGCTCTCTGCACAGTGCCTGACTCACAGTACGTGGTGGCTGTTATGTTGATGGTGGTAATAATGACCACCAGGACTCTTGGGCTGACACAGGCCTGTCCCTCTAGTGTCCTCCATCAGGCCTAGAGTATCTGCTGTTTTTGGTTTGTCCTAGAAGACAGGGCTGCATCATTTCACTGAAATAATGAATTTCCTGAATGTCAGAGCCACCTCTTACTACCTGGAAGGACCAAAATATATTCCAAAGCCAGACAGAAAGTTATTTGTGGGTTGGGCTTTGTTTGGGATTATCTATGGCCTTGAGTTATCTGGGAGCTGTGTGTTAGTCACTCCTGGGGGTGTGGGTAGGGCCTAGCTTTGCTCATTACCACAGATGCCCTGGAGTGTTCAGCAGCAGTGCTCTCACGGACGCCTTGCAAGGTCCTATGGTCCCATCAGGGTTCTTGGCTCCCAATGCTTGCTGAGAAAGGGTACCTAGACCCTTTCTGCATGTAGCAGTCCTCTCTGCCCAGGGGCTCTAGAAAAGGAGTCTGGGATGTGGGAACTGTGGGTGGGGACTGGGGACCATAAATGACTCCCCTCTCTCCCCACAGCTGCTGATGGAGACGGTAGGCTCTGACATCCGCAGCTGTCCCCTCTGCCAGCTGGGCTTTCCTGTTGGGTACCCAGATGATGCCCTCATCAAACACATTGACTCCCACCTGGAGAACAGCAAGATCTAGGGCGCCTCCCCCACCGACTGGCTGTTCCTCCATCCTCTCCAGTCACTCCCAAACACTCACTCACTTTGAATGCTGCATGAATCTCGTGGGGTGGGGGGGCTGCCCCTTGTGACCCCCAGATACCTCCACTAGCTACTGAGTCAATGTGTGTGCCGTCTTCCCTGGCCCAGGCACCACTCAGCTCTGACTCTTCCCAGGAGGTCAGCAGAGGCTCCCCCCAGTTCCCTGGCTTCTGCTGGGGAGATAGGGATCCGGGCTGGGACTGGGAGGGATGTACCGCTTCCGGGCCCCTTCCTTTGCCTTTCTGTTCTCAAACAAGGTTGGATCCAAGAAAGTGTCTAGTGTTTGGGGCTAAGGGAGGGGGAGGGTGCCAGAGGTCCCACAAGGAGCTCCTCAGCCCCTTCCCCAGATGCCCATCTTTTTTAGGCTGGGCTCTGTCCTGGGAGCACCACCTGTGGAGGTCCCAAAGCCTGCCCTGCACACTGATACCAGTCCCTCCTTCCCATGGTCAGCATGGGGTCGTGGCACGGGCCCCTGGCCGGGAAGGGGCATATTGATTTTTGCCATTCCCTGCAGGCAACCCCGTTCTCCCCCTCTCCCCACCCTGGGGAATAGGAGGGTAGGGGGAGAGGAGGACCCTGGAGGACAGAGAAGATCCAGCCTAAAGAGGCTGCCCTGGGTGTCAGGGAGTCCCTGTACCATGACCGTCAGGCCAGGGGACTGTCTGTGCCACCTGCCCAGGCCCATGCCCTCCTCCTGGAGCGCCTGGCACTGAGGCACAGATTGGCAAGGCAGATGCTCCCTTCCATCCTTACTGGAGCCCCTGACACCACAGGTGCTCTGGAGCCCAGGTGTGACTCAGCCTCTATTAGCTGAGTGGGCACCAAACCTGAGAATGGGCCCAGGGTGCTGTGGAGATCAACTTCTAAAGAGCTAACCTCCCCCTTCCACACCCCACCGACCCACATTCCCTCTGTGAAATCTACCTCAGAGTCATACCCTCAGAAGGACGGGTAAGCAGGAGGCCAGGAGGTCCCCAGGGCTGTGGTGGGGAGCTTCCTCCAGCAAGAGCCTGCTGCCCCACGAAGAATCCAACCCCCTCCACTGCCAGCCCTCCCAGGTCTCAGCCCCGGGTGGGTGGCAGTGGACGCTAGTGTCAGTGCATGTACCGTTCTGATCCAACTCTTCCAGCCCCTGCCCCACTCCTCACCTCCCTCCCCACCTCAGTGCAGGGGAGGGAAGGGATGTGTCGAGTGGGGGAGGGGGCCAAGGACTCCAGAGACAACATGTCATTGTATCCTGAGTGCTCCCCCCAGGGAGGGGAAGTAGAGAGGGGGACTAGAGAGGGGAGGCGTGGGCCCCTGTGCTCTCTGAACAAGTTGAAAGTCCAAATAAAACTTACCTGTTCCATCTGCGCTCTGTCTGTGCCCTGTGTGGCTGGGGTGGAGCTAGAACCCATCATAGCAGGAGGGCTTGGAAACTGTCTCAAGGAGCTTCAGCCATGGATGGGTGGGTATCGGGCAAGTAGGGGATGCATGGTTACTCACACTTGAAGGTGATTCTGGAGGTGTGGGTGTGCCAGTGGCCACAGATAGCATGTGACAGATAGGGGCAGCAGAGGATATCTTCATGACAAAACAGGCACCCAGCCCTGAGCAGATGCTAGGGGCTCTGGAATGTTTCCTCCCAGCAGGTCTGGCAAGTGGAGGTCCTGAAGCCTTGGGGGCTCATTGTTAGGAGCAGCTGTCTATTCATGAAATGATTTCTCTTGCCAGGAATCAGGCAGAGGCCTCAAAGAGGAAGAACATGTCTATTCCATGTCCTCAGGTCTACATGCAGGAGAGTGGTTGGCCTCCTGGCTCAGCAACTGCCTGCAAAGTCTCATAGCCTGGGAGGTCAGAGCCAGGTCATGACCCCATGACTTCTGCCCGAGCCAGGCTATGTGGCCTTTGTCTTCAGAAAGAGCCTGAGCTACTTATTCATCAACTCTGGGTGCCTTTCATTTCTTTGTGCCTGCCCTCCCCCCACCTGTTTTTGCCAGGGTTCACTTGAAAACAGAAAGAGGGGATAACTGCTCATGGAAGGCCCAAGGTTCAGCTCTAGACCCAGGTACCCCTACCCAGTCATTGCCAAGTCTAGACCTCTGTGATGGGACTCCCCAAGCCTCCACTGCTCCTGTTTGGCAGTTAACAACTGCAGCTACCCTCTAAGAGTTCATCCAACCTGGAGTCCACCTGCAGCTAAGTCCTGCGTGTCAGGAAAGGTGGAAACAGCTGTCCTATGTGACATGATTTCACAAGCCATTGGAAAGAAGGTTCTGGAACCTCTGGGACAGGATGCTCAGTGCCCCTTGCTGCTCCCCCACCTCAATAAACTATGGAGGAAGGAAGCATCCAGGTTTCTGGCTCTGGGACCTGTTTGGATCTCTGGAAGCACTCTCCAGAAGGGCATGAATGAGTTAGGGATGATACAGAGACACAAGGCAGAGAGAAGTCCTGACCATTAGGAAAAGGGGCAAAAGACCAGGAGTAGGCCTGTACCGAGGCCGGGGTGGCCCAGGTAACCACTCTGGTCGGTGAGCATGTCCAAAGGTAGGAGGGAACCTGGGTATCCTAGAGCCTGGGCACTGCCCCTGTCACCAGGATGAGGGGAAATGCGGGGACATAGGGTGCAGATTCTGGCAGCTTGTCTCCTTGATTTCTGGGGACCTGAGAAAGGGCTCAGGTGCAGGGTGGAAAGTTGCTGGGGGCTGGGAGGGAAAGTGGGGAGGAGAGAAAAAAAAACAAGTATGCCCTGGTTCAGGTCCTCAGAGCTGCTGCCTTCCATCCAGTGCCCTCTCAAAAGGAAAAGACATGGGGTGGGGACTGGAGGGGAGCTGGGAGCCCACCAGCTCTCATCCCTCTTCCTCTCTCAGGCAAGACTGTGATCAGACATAATGACACTTGCTACTCATTGCTTATGGGAGATGGTGGTGAGTGGAGAGGGCACTAGGAGCTAGATCTCCAGGCTCCTGGAAGGATGAGGAGGGATGGGACATCTTTCACAGAAGTGAGGTGGAGAGAAGACCTTTGAGAAGGCTAGAGAGGATGCACTTGGGGGTCCCAGAGCCAGAACTGGGGCCATCCAGGTTTATCTCCACACCCCAAATTGGGGGCCAACATCCAACATTTCTCTGCAGCTCTGGCCTTTCTGCCCTGAGTCTCTCCTTCAACTGCCAGCTGCCCCTGGGTTCTCCCTGCCCCATCCTAGGGGGCCCTACAGCCCTGCCCCTCTCCTCCAGGGCTTCCCTAGCTGTAGGTACCAAGCCATGGAGACCCCTGCCTTTCTCCTGGGTCCCTCTAGAGACTGTATCAGGCGATCAGCTGAGGAGAGCAACAGCTCCTCCTTGTGTGTGCATGTGTTGGGATGGGGGGAAGAAGTTGATCACTAACAAAGGGGAGGGTGTGTGGGTGAGTCAGCTGTGCTAATGAGAAACACCTCACCCAGCTGATTAGGGCTAATGAAGAGGAACAGAGAGGGTAGGGGCTTTCACTTGGTGACATCTTTATAGGGTAGAAGGGAGCAGCACAGCACACAATCTCATTTCTTCCTCAGCAAGGACAAGAACAGAGCAACTTTGGCTCCTGTAGGAAGAGTTGACATCAGATACCAGGATGGAATGTTAAGGGCAAGGGAGTCCTAAGTGAGAATGGGTGGGACAGGTGGCAGTGGGGGTGGGGTGGGTAGAGGCTGGGTAATGTGGGAAAAAGGGTGGTTGTGGAAAAACCCTCTTTCCCCTTCCTCCAATTCCTCTGTGTTAACGCTAGAGAAATCCTTGACAGTCAGGACTTCACCCCTGCTTGCCCAAGTGCTAACCTCCATCTGCAGATGACCATGAGGCATGCTGCTTAGAAGGCTCCAGTCTGTGCCCTTCCCATCAGCAGCCTGAGAGAGAAGGCTCTGGTTTGCGGATTGACCATCTCTGCAGGTGTGGTGTAGCTCTGTACTGATGATCCAGGGAGACCTGGCCTGCCTGATGGGGAAAGAAGGTAGTGGGGGACTCGAGGGTCAGCTGGAGGCCCTCCCCTGTCCTTTGTGGTAGAGGCAGAAGCCCCTCGGAACCCAGCACCAACCCACCTTCCATGCCAATTCAGCCAAGGGCAAGGGCACCAGGCTCATGCCACAGATGTTCCAGTCTGCTGTGTGAGCTAGGGTATGAGGAGAGAAGAGGAGGGGCTGGGAGGGGGACAGGATGGGTGTCGGCCAGCACCTCCAACACCTCCTAATTTGCATTACCACTGACACTCTTCTTGACCAAGAAAATGGAGCCAGAAATAACAAGGGGGGGTTCCCTTGGGGGGCCTATGAGGTTAATCTTTCCTTGCCTCCAACACTGTCACGGTGCCAGGGGCAGGAGGTCACAGCTGGCCTGAGGTGAGGGAAATATGCCCACTGCTGGGCTCACCCCTCCTCTGAGTGCGCAGATAGCCCGTCCAGGCCTCCCTTGGCTCCAAATACCTCAGTCCTGACCCGTTCCTTCTGAGCCTACTCCACCCTTCCCTCCTCTGGGAACCCACTCCTGGGTTGCGCTTGAGAAGTTGTCTCTGGCGATATTCTCTTCTCAGTCTGTGTCCTGCCTCCTTCATCAGATTGGGCATTTCCCAGGACCAGGGAACATTCTGCAGGAGAGTTTTTGAATAGATTCTAGAAATGGCCTGAGGTAAGTCAGGGTCCATGTGAGATCCTAAACCTTAAGGCTGTGTGGTGAGAGGAAAGAAGGAGGGACCTTTTCCCTCCCCTGGGGAATCCCAGCTCTGGGTGGGTCTCCCTGCTGGAGACTGTCTAGTGCAATTTTATGTGGAGGTAGTTCCCAGTCCTCAGGCCTCTCACCCCGTGAGACCCTGGAGACATTGTTAGCCCTTGCCCAAGTGACTACCACAGACGTCCACAAATATAGTAGGGGCTCAATTTATGTACATTGGGTTGACTGCTATTCCAAAGAGAGTAGGGATAATGCGGCA